AGGAAGGTGCCGTCCGCCCATAGCGCCGTGTGCATGAGATCGCCAGGCAACCAACCCGGCTGTGCGTTTGCCTAAGTACATGAAAGATGCCAGGCAAGAACTTTTAGAGGCAGCAGGAGATGCCCCATGCGGGTGTCGGTGGGCATTGCACCCCTCCTGAAACCCTGAAACTACCGATACACACAAACACACACATGGGCAGCAATTCTCACCCTCACAAGTACATAAATGAGCACATTCATTCACTGACACATAAAACCATGAAATTACTCACACACACATGCACACGTAGGTTTGTAATTATATCATTGTGTGAATTATATCATTATTCATTTCTATGGGGAAAACCCTGATCTCAACATGATGACCTTAACCCATACCCAGCCCTAACCTTAACCATAAGTAAACAAACAAAATACAGGACGTTTGCCATTTTTCGTTTTTTGATTGCAGTCTCAGATCTTTGTGGGGAGCTGAAAAATGGTCCCCACAATGTCAGAATATCAGTGACAGGTTTTTATAGCATTGTGGGAGACGTTTGGTCCCCACAATGTAATATAAACATAATCCACACACACACACACCCATGCAGAAGCCCCACATTTGCAATTGCCCGGCGCCGCTCAAGCCGTCAGACGGCAGGGCCGCCCGCGCTGGTCGCGAGCCCGCTGGACTGGGGCTGGTCACATGATGCGGCCCGCGGTGTCATCATCCTTGGGACAGTCTGTCTCTTTGGCACGGCCAGGTGGTAAAAGGCTCCATGGGCCATGCTCTGCCAGACCGTTTACCGTGCTCTTACCGCACGGCTTAAACCTCACCCTTGAGCTTCAGCGATGCAGCTGGAATAGTGCTGATGGTTACATCACCACGCACATGCAGACCGAACCGCATGACAAAAACGTGGCTGCGGGGCGGTCCAGAGACTATCATCAACACATAAAGGGGTTTGTTCTGCCAAGAACAAATTCTGCACCCATAGCAACAGGCAACAGATGCCAGCCCTCCTGCTGAAAGTTCCATACAGACGCCCCCCCCCCCCCCCCCCACCTCCTATGGGCCGACACCATGACTCTCTATGCCCCGCCCATTTCCAGCAGCCCTCCACACAAACTCTGCCCAGATACACAACACAATGCGTCACCCAATTACCCAACTCACAGCAAACGACATCCGTAGTAGCGAAAGAGAGGAACTGTGAGATAAAAGGCTATCGCTGGCTGAGATTTGCCGGCCTGATTAATGCGAGGACGTAACCCTGTCCTGTACAATCAGAGGAATTTATTTTCCTGCCAAAGGGTTAGGACTTATTTCTTTTTCCTTTATTTCTCTCTTTCCACTGGAAAAAAGGGACGTAATAACAATGCGATACAGATGTAATTTATGACCTGGCAGTCGCTTGAGTTTCCTTGCATCCGGAGTCCGGCCTCTTTCCTCATAATGGGAATTAATTTCTTGTGGGCGCCGAAGTTTGACAAATCTTGCGTGGAGGACAAATTGACCAGCAGCAGACTGTAATTTGTCCTTTCGGGGGACTGCCTGGCCCCGCACTCGCTCCGTAATTAGTCTGCGTCTGCGAGGTGCCCCCGTTTGGGGGGATCTTACAGACGGGTGCCCCGGGTGCCCTCTGAGATAAGACACGGGGGACACGGTGACGCCAACGATCCCCCCCCCCCCTTGCAGACTTCCCACTCCATTGCCCATCCTCATGAGACATTTGGTGCCCCCCAACCCACCTACAAGATAAGGAGGAACAGAAGCACAGATGGTGTTAGAAGGAATTGAATCGATAGTGAAGATGATGATGAAGCTGATGATGACAGACATGAAGAAGACAGAGGTGACGATGGAGGAGACAATGACTGAGGTGTGAATGACTGAGGTGACTGCGACCAAGGTAATGATGACTGAGGTGACGATGACTGACGAAAGGATAATGAACAATGACTGAGGTGGCAATGACAGAGGAAACGATGACGGATGTGATGGTGACAGGGGTGACAATGACAGAAGTGGTGATGATGGTGGTGATGATGACAGAGGTGCCGAAGACAGAGGTGAGGAAGACAGAGGTGACAATGACGGAAGTGATGATGATGATAAAGGAATGTGAGGGTTAAGAAGAGCAACCATCAAGGGACCCTAATGGTGCACTTTACCGCACATGGGAAAAGTACGTGGAGAGAGACGGGAACGCGGGACAAGGTCGGATCACCTTAAAAAAGTGCTCTCATTACCGTAACTGTGTGATAGAGCTGTTTACAGAACACTGGCCTGGATCTTCGGATCATTTGTTATATAAATATGTTGTTAGAGGTTTTTTCTTCTTACATTAAAATATAAGACAGTTCATGAACCGATACTGGTTAATTGGTGCCCCGTCAACGCATTTTAATTAACACGAGTGTTACGCTCGACTAATTACGCAGTTAGACGGGACAGAAATCTGCATACAAAGCGGACTCTCATTACCCCAGCCAAAACCTTTATTTAGAAGGAGTCCTGAGCATGTCCGCTAATGTTTCCATCACGAGTGAACGTAGGAGAGGGTGGGTTGTGTCAAAATGTGCCGACGGCGACACCAGCTTCAGGGTGGCATGGAGCCGGGGTGACTTTCTTGCGTGGGGTGTGGGGGACACTTGTGGGTGGGTGGGCGAATTTCTGTATGGGAGGCCTCAGAACCTGAGGTTCGGGCACAGAGGATGGTATGACTCGTTGATGCCAGGGGCATTGCCCTGACTTGCATGTGGTGCTAAGAGGGGCACTGGGCACCGTTATCAACCAGACCTCATAAATGAAAGATGTCAGAGAACGGGAAAATAAGTGACTAATTGGCTATTGGGCTTGCCTGAGCCAATTAGCAGGCCTGTTACATTCACGCTTGGGCACCGAATTGGACCGAGCAGTGAATAAGTCGACACCTCTGCTGGACCCCCAAAAAACCCAGCAGATTTCCACTTAAAGACTACAGGCTCCACACCAGCTCACTGGGTGTCCATGGCCGAAAGAGGCAGGCAGAGGAAAGCTTTGAGAGTGCAGGAGGGCGGGGCTCTGGAGCGCGATGGAAGAGCAGCATCCCAGAGACCCTTAAAAGGCTGTGTGAGTGCCGCTGGGGTCCGCGGGGACAGGAGATTGGCCCAGAGAGAGGGTGAGAGCAGGGCTTCTGTGAACGGCCAATGAGAACACGGGAAGCGGAGGCCTTGTGGGCCACGTACCAGCACGCCAAACAGGTTTCACAGTTAGTACAGCGTGTACAATGCAGCTTAATTCACTATTAGTTCCAAGGACAGAAATTCACTCTTTGTTTTTCTGGGCTGGCATAGTGGCTCAGTGGGGTGGGGCTGGGGGGATTTAAACCTTGCCACTGATCTGTGTGTGGGGTCTGTACCGGCATCTTACCTGGGGTGTACCACAGCCTTATGCCCTGTGTGCCTGAGATAGGCTCCAGCACCCCCTCCCCCACCCACTGGTCAGATGATGAATGGATGGACCATGTACTTTTCTGTAATGTTCAGTATAAATACTTTAACTAACATCGGATGAAGCTACATGGCCTGCAGCTGAGGCCTCAAGAATAAAATGTTACGTAGACACTTTTTATTTTTTCCCCAGATTCGTTAAAGTTAAAACAGCGCCGTTTTCACACAGAAGTGTGTGTGAGAATGTGTGTCTGTATGTATGTGTGTGTGTGTGAGTGTGGATTTGTATTTACTACAATGTGGGGACCAAATGTCCTCACAGTGTAGTAAAACCTGTAATTATTAAAAATGTAGTAAAAACAATATAAACCTCAATTTTATAAAAAAAAATCTGTGCGTGTAAACGAAAAACTAAAGCAGCCAAAAGTCTTGTATGGTTAAGGTTAGGGCTGGATGAGGGTTATGATAGTTAGGGGTAGAGTTATGCCCGTAAAAATGAATGGAGAGTATGTGTGTGCATGCATGTGTGTGTGTGTGTGTGTGTGTGTGCGTGTGTGTGCGTGTGCACGTGTGAATGAGTGTTTGGCAGCTGGCTACCAAAACCAAACAATTCTCTTGGGCATGAATCAAATTTAAGGGCATGAGCCTCTTGAACGGCAGACCTCCAGGTGATGGAGAATCTGTCAGCCCCCCTTCATAGACAGGGCTCCCCTCCCCAATCCCAGCTAGATTAGTGCCAGCATTAACCCCCCCCCCCTCAACCACCCTACTCGCCCCAAGCGCTCGGCAGCGGAAACCGCTCTCTGTCCGACATGACAGAGAGTCGGAAGGCTTTCATCTCGCCTTCGCTGCCGTTGGCGGTGGTGTGCCTCGTGAGGCGGGTCGGGGTGCCGTTCAAAGGCGCTGTGTCCGCGCGCAGCCTGGGCCCCCTCTCTGTCCCCTGCTGAGCGCTGCCAGGGGCCACGCTGAATAATTGTCTGAAATTGATTGGATCGAGCTCCGTTTCGAGTGGCTGGGGAGGATTTTGGAAAACAACAGCAATGCACGAGCAGTCGGGTGAGCTGGCCACGACGCTGGGGCCTCGTCCACGCATCGCTTACGGTGGCCAATCAGGGCGCGAATTTGGCATGGCGGCTCTTAGACAAAACGGGGCCCTGCCCGGGGGCCCGGCACTGCGCTTGGCTTCAGAAGCGCTACTGCAATCGCTGCTGGGCTAGGGGCGGCCCGACTGCACGCTCATTCCTAGCATCACGGGCCCTGGCCCCATCTACGTCAGCGCCCCCTGCAGGGGGGGCAGTCGGGCTGCAGGGTTTCCCACACCATTACTCGTGTGTGTCTCCCTGAATATCAGAATGCTCCTCCGCTTACACACCGTGTCACACAAGCAGCACCAGGCACAGTTTAGCATAATATTCTGTATCTCCCCAGAGACAATTGCAAACAGCTGATTAGCCCACAGCAGGATGCATCCAACAACATGACCCCCCCATTGCGCCCCCTCATGCTGTTGCTCCCTCTCTAAACTCACCTTGAGGTAGCTCCCCCAAGGATAAGCAAGGTGGGGGTAGGGAGCAGGTGACTTACCCCAGGTAGGGTCTTCTGCTCGTGCAGGGCACTCTGGGCCTTCAATGCAGACTCCCTGGCACAGTACGTGAGAAAGGCACATCCTGGGCAGGGAGACACAGAGAGGGGTCACCCCACAGAAGCAGTGTGGAGAAGAGCCTATACAGTGCATGGACAGGGCATGGATGAAGTATGAGTAAAGTCTGGTCAAGGGACAGCAGGGCATGGATGGACAGGGACAATTCCAGATATTTTTAAGGTCATAAGAGGGGCTATAATTCATACTACTAAGCCAATGATATGTTAAATGATAAATCGATGAGTGACAAGGCAAAGGGCACTCGGGGTCCAATCAGCTTTCAGCTGGGGCCAGTGTCCCTGTGGCCCCGCCCTTCTGCATGCCCCTGGGCATGGATAAGGCATGGCTTTGGTATGGACAAAAGATGGACAGGATATGCTGGACACACACAGTACAGTCACGCTGTGACAAGACCTGCATCACATCCGCAGACAAGACAATTTTCTAGAAAGAAAAGCATCACATTTTCAAGATCCCGATTGTTTCTGTTTCTGTATATCATGTTTCAGAGTTGTGTGGAACGCAAAAGAAACATGGACATTCCGGTTTGTCTCACTGCTGCAGCAGCTTTATGTTGCTTAACATTATAATTTTATCAGCAATCTTCATTTCACGATAAGCCCCACGATAAATTCCTTAAAAATGCAATTATTCAACAGAATGTTTTGCACTATATTAAAACAGATAACATCAATATACGTTTATGGTAGCACCTGTAATTAAACTCAAGATGCAGCTCAAAAAAAAAGACATCAACAACAGCGCCCCCTAACTGCTGAGGTATGGCACTGCATGCGGCACAACTGCAGAGGGAGGAGGTTTGCAGGGATGACCTTTGACCCGATTCTCTGCCAGATCCAGTCAAGCCTCCCCACCCCATACCGCCTGCATCGATCCCCTGTAGTCAGCTGGTCACATGAGAACAAACGTCACTCTGGCTAATGATGATGAAAAACAAGAGGAGACACTGCGTACTTCAAGGGTCACAGCAGGAACTCGCTGCGTAGGGGCCTTGTGATTCCCAGGCCCAGCCCAGTGTGACCCATCAGGCTTCTCAGGGGGGAATCAGTAAGGGAGCATCCGCCCGAAAGGCCCAGGACAGCGGGGTGCCCGTTCAATGTGAGCCATCCGTGTGACACCCCCGTACCACTGCGTTTTCAGTGGTGTTTAGCTGGGAGCCGTGTACACAGTCAGTTATAATACTGAGACTCCGTCTGGATCCCGCGAGCTGCAGCCCAGCTGAGCCTAATTTCCTCTTTGGGTCTCCGCGGTAACCTGTGATATCGGCGCATTATTTATTTACCTAACAGCCGCTCTGGCTCACAGCGTGCAGCTCTCAGTTTTCACAGGTGGACGTTTGCCGATGTGACTCGGCAATCTGAGCCCTGCCAACAGACCCTCGTCCCCCCCACAGGGGACTCGAACCCGCAAGTTCTTGGCCACAGGTTCTGCAATGTTAGGACCAGATACATAAACAAGGCTCGTGACTTTCCGTGCTGCCAATGCTGACTGCCAGTCAGCATCTGCATGGGAAAAACGGAAGTGGACTCAAGGCTTTCACGTGGCTGATCTCGCACACGCATGCCTGCACACTCTGGAACGCTGTATTTTTGCCAGTGAATGGAGAGGTCAATGATCAGAAGTCGGGTGGAACTGGGCCAGCAGGCAACCGTCACTCAGCACGGGCGGGGAGGGGGGCAGCCTGGCTCATCACTGTCACATGAGCCCTTCCAGGCAACTTCTGTTCCAGCCGCCCCCCGACACAAACACACACGCAAAAAAATTATCCATCGCTCGTTGGAGTATTTTATTTTTTATTATCACTTTTCACAAAAAAAAAAAAACTCGCTAGTATATGTTTCTATTAAATTCCATCCCTGCCTTTCAGTTCTAAAAGATGCATTTGTTTGTTTCCCTGAGCGTTGACAGTTAAGCGGAAACTGCCGAAACAGATAATAGGAAAATGAAAATGGGCAGAGCGAAAACAGGAGCGCTCGCTACTGCTGCAAATACATGTGCATTCGCAAGTTTCTGCGAGCGCACGATTGCATAACACCCTTTTCTCATACCGAGCTTTCCTTTCCCCGTCTCAGCGGGCTATTTCCCGTTTCCCGGATATGGAATAAAAAATAAAACATCACAAGAGCGCTGGAACGCGGGACATTTCACGGAACACTTGTAACATCAAATCTTTCTCATTTTGAGTGATCTAAACTGCAAAGAGCACGTCAATCTACGCAGCAATACAGAAACAGCAAAATATTACCGAAATAGATGACATGGAAACATTACACAATACGTAAAGCTGATCCATTGGACTAATAATCTTGACAAACCGATTATTAAAATAGTTACTATTATTATGCACAAATTTAAAGTAGCCCTATTCAAAGACGGGACAGATTTAAGAAATTCGAGAAACTCATCCCAGCTTTCCAAAAATAGCTACATTAACCTACCCCAGTGTTGTCCTTGGTCTGTTTCTAACAGTAATGCAATTAACAATATTATTATTACTTAAAATATGAGACCACCGTACCGACATTATAGATCAAGTATCACTGTCCCTCCGAGAAACCAGAAAACGTGAATACTTAATAGATAGATATGTAAGAGTATATATAAGTAGGCCTACATTGAATAAGAACAAAAAATTGATGAACAACATAAACGCACGCGCATATACGTATACTCACGCCATACTGCAAACGCTATAATAAATGTCAAAGGACACAGCAGATTGTATAACCAAACCATGACCGTTAAAATTCAATTAAAGCATAAGGTAAACTATCACATTATGTACTTTACGCAAGGCCTACAACAGGATACGTCAGCATTTAGGCAGGTTTTGTTCAGTAGTGTCTCGATCGTACTTCAGACCCAGTGGAAGTCCTAATACACCAGACCATCGTTGGGGATAAAATCCGTTAAAGCTTTTTTTTGTCACACCGTCGTTGCTCATTTGCGTTTCTGAAGTAATCCTGACTTCACCGACGGTTACATGGAGGGTTCGGCTCACCTGTTGCTATGAGATTTTCGGTGGTTGTTGTATAGCATTGTAACTAATATAACATTACATTTATATTAGCGTTAAACTTTTAATAAGCAATATATGTGCATTCTATTATTTCTTTAAAAATCCTTGAGAAGTTTCGTCAAAAAACCTGTTGCCTGGAGCAGTAGCCTACCTATAAAAAACACGATGCAACAAACTAACTTCACTCGCTCCCAGATATAAGGTAAATGTTCGTCGGCATAAAGATAAATGTAAAAGCCGGTATATGAACTGCAAACATCTTGAAGCCTCCGCGGTACAACGTGGTTGAAAGCAGCAACAACACGAACGTAAGTTTTATTTATAAAAAAAAACTCCCGTATGGACGATCAGCCTTATTATGCATATATTTTGACAGTATTGGCCTACTACCCTTATTATTCTAATCTATGTGAGACTGTAGTCTACTTTTCTGCGTAGGTGCCTTATGGATGCAATTTTTAAACGTGACTTTAAGAATAAAACTATATTGATCCTTCTATATGCCATATATAGGCCTAGGCTATTTTATATAGGTCTATTGTGTGAGAGAAAGTTAAATATATTATAATTAAATGTGCTATGGGCCCTGCCAAAAAATACATCAGTCAACGTCAGAAAAGTAATACGGGGAGTGAAGAATGTTTTTATGTGTGCAGTGTGCTTTTGATATCAACATCAACCCACAACCCGTACCCCCATCCTTTTCAATTACCCTGTCCTAGTTGCGTAAAGGTGATGGGATTTTCGGGTCTACTACGTTGGAAGCAATCATGACAAAGTTAAATAGGAAGATTAAGTATTTCACGGAATAAAGTATGACAGGTGTCATCGCAACAAGGGCACCCGTAAAGCGTGGGGCAACCCGGGACTTTAATCAACCGTTTCTGCATTGTTCTTAGTATATTGAATAACTCTCGTAATGATGCAATCTATTCCGACACGTGACACGCCGTCCGTAGCGCTGGACCCCAAATACAGAGCCCCGGCTTGAGGTCCGGACCGGCTCTTTCTGCCCAAAAACCCGCCCGACCCTCGGCGCTATGCATCGCAGACTAGCATGGCCCATTAAATGTGAATTGGATACTTGCGTTCCGCAGATCGCACAGGGCTAACTCAGAACTCTACCTGTGTTATCTGATTAAAAATACTTTTCTAGACATATAATAGTAGGTCTATAATATTGTTGTTGTTATTTGTAGGTACTGCACGTAATATACATTGTATGCAATGTATATGTAATATATAATACCAGCTTCTATATATTATGTGAACATGCTCTCGAAAGGATGCAGGTTTATGAAATAGATGGTTGTATTCCGAAAGTCCGGAACATTCACTTTTCTAAAATATTTGCTGTGTTTATTTGTTTCAATTGTTTCATTGCATATTTCACGTATTATTTTATCTATTTAACTGAATTTACACAACGTATACGTATAAGCACTAGTTTTATCCTTACTAATGGTCATGTTATCGCGACTACAGTACGATATAGCAACAACAATAACATTTTTTTGCGTGGGTTGTGCGTTATTAAAATGAATACTCGCGTCTTATTCTGGAAAAAATGTACTACGTTTAGCTACTGAATAAAAGCAATGTTCGTACTTTGTGTTAGGCAGATTGTGATCCCGGGTTTAATTATTAATCTTTTACTTAATTAGTGTAACGTAGCCTTACAGAAAATATATCGTATAGCATCGATATAACACTCACAACAACGTCACACATTCCATTATAGTAAGCACTCAGTTAATAAATATTTATAGCCTACTTATTGAAAAGTGGACTGAAAATGTCGTCTTTGCTCAGTTATTCCTCCTAAATTAGTATATATTACTATATATTTTAAGTCGATGCACGATTCTCTATCTCTGTTTTCATTTCATCGTAAAACAACTGTAAATAACTGTAAATATCACGAAATAGCTTTGTTGACACATTTACTATTGTTACTGTCGACGCGTGAATTAAGGCTTTTGTATAATATTTAGGTGATCGACGCCGGAGTAGGGAGATGTGACAGCTCGGGGAAGAAGAAAAAAAGTGTAATTTCAGTAGCGAACCGATTAGTATAGGAGGCATTTAAATCATCCCGAAAAGGCTGCCACTGGGAACTTCATCCACATCCATTTCTGTAAAGGTCAAAAGTGAGAGCAAATTCTCTCCATGTCAAGGTATAAACCTGTGTAAATTTCAGGAGACAGAAAAAATAGTGATGCGTTTTGCAAAGACGTGATTGAAAGAAACTCGACGTTCTGTATCATATCCGTGTACAAATCGGTTTGCTGTAAATACAACGGCAAAGGGTTGCCTTTCTCACACACATTTTAAATTGTTGTTTATCGTGATCTAACGAGCATTGCACGTCTAATTCCCCTTATATGTGCATGCATGCACTAATACATTATAGTCGGATAAAAACGAAATTTTGCGACATGGGAGTTTCAATACAATAAACGTACATTCATTTCTTATTTTCATAAAAAAAATATATAATAATTGTAATTACTATCAATGCCATTGTGCTTTTTCTGTTGACACTGCAAGATTTAGCTTTTCATCGGGTTTGCTGAATCGTTAACAGCCAGCGATTAACTAATCACGGTAAAAGATACCTCAACGAGAACTAATGCACGCCAGCGAACTTTAAGCTGGTCTCCGCACTTTGCTCGACATTTTTACCTAAGGAAGTGGGCGGCATGGATAAAATGCACGTTTATTTTAAGACCCCTTCTAAAGAAGGTCCCCTGCTGATGCTTTGGGATACTTTCTAGTCATATTTAGTTGTCCCGGTTATTGTTATTCGTCGATGCCGAATCTCCCGCTGGAGGCTGGAAACACAATGGCTGTGCCCGACGTAAACACACACACGCACACACACGAACCCGTTTACCCGTAGTATTCACGTGGACTCGAGTCTGACACACCACAGAAACGCCCACCCCCCACACCCTCCACCCCATTCAAACAGAAAGAGTCTCTGCACTGTCTCTAAATTAATTTCATTTTTAAATAACCGAGATTGTATGGCAGGGGGGCTTCCCCTCGCCCCAACCTTGGGAAAAAAACGGATCACTTTTTATGCTCTACCGAAGTGGTGACGAATCGGTGGCGCTATGGCTAGAGATGGCTCAAAAACAATGATACGACAACAAAACCGACCTTTATGCATTCCTGTAAACCTGTCTTTCAGCACGGTGAGTTCGTATATCTTCCCGAATTCCTCAAACAGGGGTTTAAGGTCTTTCTCCTCCAGGTTTCTCGGTATTTGCCCGATAAACAACTTGATGGCGTCATGGTCTTTCATGGGAATGGTGTTCTGTACTATGCTAAGTCCGTTCATCCTGCTGGCGCTGTTCGTGGTGCTGAATCCATTCTCTTGCTGCACTCCGTTCGCAGTGACTGTAGCCATCTTTCTTCAATGGACCGACTGCTTTCTCTCTCTCTCTCCCCCCTCTCTCTCTCTCACTCTCTCTCTCTCTCTCTCTCTCGCTTGCACCCTCTCTCGTCCGTTCTCTCTCCCTCTATCTCAAACACACACTCCCCCTTCTATATCTTCCTTTCTCACTCGTCCCTTTACTCTTCTCTCTCGCTCCCCTCTCTCCGCGTCTCACTCCCTCCCGCACTATGCCCTATTGTTTTGATTGCGCCTTATTTATCTTCATATACTGTCATCCTTCTTCTCGTTCTCAATCTGTTTCTTTCTCCCCGTGTCAGCTGCCACTCTGCTTGTGACGTCAGTCCGTGGGTTCCTGACTAGACCCCCTGCCAATTTGCATAATAAACCCGTCTCAGCCAATGGGAGGGCAGGACGTGCGGAGGCCTACGGGGTGCAGCGTGCTTCCAAACGTTTATTCTAGAGAGAGACTGGGACGTTTAAGATCCGGCGAGAAAATCCGCTTGTGTACACATCCAGATTCAGCCTAATTTAATACAAATATTGTCACTGAGCACACTAGCCTGTCTCTGAAACTTTTATTAGGAATAATTTTCTATAAAGCGGCTTTATTAGCTCTGTACTAAAATCGCTGACGATTAATTAGCCCACTACAGACACAACGCTACCATTTATATTTGTCACAATAATTTAAATTAACTTAATGTCATCGTTGGCGAAAAATGCACAGTAATGTATCATATATTGAAAAGTATTTACATATTTATCATTTTCGCGTAGTAATTTGTTTGCGCATCTTCCAGTATTAACACAGACCTAGGGCGATTAGTGCTAGTCTTAATTCAAAATGAAAGTCAGCCTTTGGTATTTTTAAATAATTTCAGGTTTATATATATATATATAGCACACGCAAGGACACTTAGAATATGTCTCTTAGTTCAGTCTGTTGGATCGAACGACTATATTATAAGAACCGGGACCCTGCCAACTTGTTGCTGACCGCGGTGCTGGTGACTGAGCCCGCAGGCATGCGCGCGCCGAGGGGGAGGCTCCGAAGTCGTCACTTTTAAATTCACAATTCACCTTGCCGACAGTGAAAGGTAATAACTTCGATTTTTTTTTACACGAAAAGTATGTGGAGGAAATACTATTATCTGACTGGAATTATTTACATGGAACGCAGGGCTATTTTTCATACAAATATCTGGTGTATACATTATGCTCATAAAGGTGCAAATACGAAAAAAGAAGAAAGAAAAAACCGAAAATGTTAGCTTTGGCTTTCCAGTACAAAGTCAGAGTAGTAAACAAATTACTTCACTCTGTTCAGTATTGCACATTTATTCCACCATTTACTGCTATGCATAGAATAATATAATATAATATAATATAATATAGTATAATATAATATGGTGGCACAGGGGCAGGTGTAGTGTTGGTGGGCCTGCATTTGGATTGTGTGGCTCTGACATGTTTCCTACGTGTTGACGCTGGATCTCTCTCGGTCCGCTGCTTTCTCACTGCAACCTAAAGACGGGCTGTTTAGGTGAAGGGGTGATGCTAAACTGTCAGAAGAAAAAGTGTACTAGTGTTCGCCTATATGTGTGAGTGTGTATCCTGCAATGGACTATCATTGTATGAGATCTGACAGATGCATGGTATAATTTGTATGTTAGTCTTTGAATCTCCAGCTTGCCCCATTTCTCATCTAAATGTATAAAATGCATCCTATATTTTTAATCACATAGACATTATATCTAGCTATCTATCTATCAGTCTTTATATCTGTCTGTCTATGTCTGTCTGTCTCTCTTCAGTGTTTCTCTGCATTGTATGGATTTACATGTTTGGCTCTTATTATTAATCTGTATTTCTTTGTTCTGCATATCATCTCAGGTTGCATGCCTGCTTTAGGGCATCAAGGTACCACAGGTTTCCCTGTGGTATCCCCGTCAGGAGGCACAGCGAAGGAGCAGCCTGCAGGACAGTGAGCAGGTCACATGCCTCCCTCTTTTAAATGCACAGCGTCTGCTGCAAAGGGCACCGTCTGGCCGCGAGGCCCCAGCGTCAAGGAGCTCAGCAGTGCCACTGCGTGCCTCACGGGCAGCATCCTCCCCTTTTCTGGCTCTGCGGCGGGCAGGGAGGCCGGCGACATACTGAGGGCACCACACACGATTACGGCCCTACGCCGGGCTGGCAGAACTCTACCAGGGACACAGAGTTCTGGGGAACTGACTGAGCTCGTACACATTATCTCTGGAATTATTTATGGTTTAAATCCGCAACTTAAAAGAAGTTAATATAATAATGAAATAAATGTATGCTTTATTTGCCATTTACACAAGCATGAGTACAGGTACTTCGGAATCCTATACAGTTATTTCGTACCCCATCTTGCGGTCCTTTGAAGCATGACCACGTGGGCCTGGAGGTGGAGCCCAGGGTCATTCATTTACTCAGCATTTATTCCGTACCCCCAGGTACAGAACTTAGTCTGCAAGGCATAGCACATAAACATCTACACATGGGCTACAGGTTTAGTAAGAGATTTGTTGGTCAGTGATGGCCATTTTCTATTTAAAACAATCAATCAGATTCTCATATTCATATCTATATGGGCAACCACAGAGGTATCCGATATTTAAAAACATTCCCGAAAGTGTGTAAAATGTTAAATGGATGCGGAGTTAATTCTAGAATCTACCATCTGTATTCTATAACATATAACCACACAATTGGGAAGCCACTATACTGTTCCATCCATTGGCCCTAAAATTATATTAAGTGACAGGAATATTTAAATATTTTAAGGTGCTTGTTTTCCAAAGCATGTATTACTAATTGCACTTAACGGGTTACTTAGTAAACAAATGTCTTATTGACAAGGGGTTCTTTTTTTAATTGCCGTTTGCGGTTCCCTTGCACAGATCCCACCCGGAGTCACAGCACAGAGCTGCCGCCCCCTCCGCGTGCGGAGTCGTGAATAATTGAGAGGGAAACAGACACACGGTCGCGGGGACCTCCACGCGGCCTCCAAGCCAGCGTGTCTCATGCTCTGTTATCGTGACACCTTTTTATTATTATTTTTATCCCACTTGTCCCTCCCCTTACAGCCCCCTCCATAGTACCCAGGCAGTTTTATATGACTTTTTTTCCCTCCAATGTCATTTAAATATGAATTATACCCCATTATTGCGAACATGATTAATAATCTATTATGAATGGAACTCATTAAAGGAGGAATGGATATATAAATTTCTCTCTGCTTTATTATTCAACTTCTTGCTGCTTTACAAGGTCTGATATGTGTGTGCATGCTAAAGTGCTTGTTTATGCAGATTGTGATACACATTTACCTTCCTGAACAAACTAATGACGGCAATTACTCAAATGAAACAACAGGTATGGTACGCGACGCACGCCGGCCCGCGCTGATGTATGTGGCGGTGACAGAGCGAGCCGCGCGAAAGAGAAACGGGAGACTATCAAACCTCCCAGAATCCCACCTCTGGGAGGGGCAGGCTGGGGAATCGCAGATAATGCGTTGACAAGAATCGGGGAAATATTTTTGAGATCGGCTTGCAGATGCTATTCTTCTCTCCGCCCACGTCGAAGTGCGAGCGTGCTTTTTTAATGTCAGACGCAAGTCATTGTCATTCCCATGTAAGCAGTAAGGATTGTGACATTGTGTGTATCTATATATATATATATATGAGGGACACATGACCCAGGATCGAAGCCCACTGTCCCAGGGTCTCTGTGCATGACGGAGCTGGCAATGATATGTGGCTTCCAAGTGATATGTGACTTTGTCGTCGTTCTCACTCGTACGTGGTTAGCCTCTAACTTTTCAGGTCTGGTCAAGGGGGTCATACAAATGACTGGCTCATCATCAAAATATACGTTGAGTCCATCTCCGCCATTTAGACTGAAAATCGATGTAAATCACTGTGGTTTTTTTTTTTTTTTTGTACAGATTCACCTTACAGAAGTAAGTAGAGCAAACTGTTCTGTAGTGGTAAGGAACCGCAGCAGAGCGATGTCTGTTTACGGCGGATATCTGTCACCCGAGCAGCTCGTATCCGGGAGGAAAGCCGGCGGGTCCGGTCGAGCGTCGCTTCGAAAGCCGCCGATGAGTCAGCGAAGCTTCACAGAGGGCTGGTGGATCTGGCTAACAAGCTGTTTCCTCACGCATATTAGCCTCAGCTGGACAGCTGTGGCAAAAGTAGCACGCGGAGGGAGGGACGCGACGCTGTTTACTGCCTGCCCTTGCCACCCCGTTCGCGTGCGAGGGGCCCAATAGGATTCCTAACGATCCTCCGTGTCCCCAGTGAGTCACCGAAGGAAAATGCGATTGCCAGGTTTGTTTCCAGACCCCGTCCTTAAGGTGCGGAAAAGGGGCCGTGTGCGCAACGGGAGATAAGGGGAGCAGTGGAAGCGTCGGAGGTGTTGTCTAATTAAAATTGTTGTATTCGGACCATCTCTGCAGCTGGGTCAGGAATGCCAAGCAGAAAAACAAAATGACAATCCCACTCTCTTCTTTCTGTGATCACCGTGGTTGGACACCATACTGGACAGCCCAGGGGCCTTGTGTACGTGAGCTTGGGGAGACGACGAAAAACTGCTACAAGAGACCCCTTTCATCTAAATCCTCAATGTGATTTGCTTCATCACTAGGTGGAGTTTCTAACCAAACTTACTTGTAGTACTTTTTAGACCTCCCCTAAGAAAGGGAACATATCCAAGTGCTGTAAAAACGATCCCCGTCTCTACTGCCAAATTTATTGGGGGGCATCTGCAAGTACTAAATTTTGTTTGCAAGCATCCCAGTCAGGGCCGTCCATAAGGAGGAAAGAAAGGAGAAGACTTTCAAAGCCCACACAGTTGGGGGGGGGGGGGGGGGTATGAGTGTGTGAGCGTGGATAACAGTAGCTTTGGTTTGTGGCGGGGGCATTTAGTAGAATTTTTCAGGGTCCCAGCCATGTATCTGTGGCTCTGTTCCCAGTGCTGCAGTTACAGGAACCAATGGTCTCAAAACTTCAACCTACTCAACTGTTACTTAATAACATTGAGGACTTGTGACCAAAAGGTTGAAGTTTGGGCTCCAGGGGAAACCAGCCCAGTCCTGCTGAATTAGCATCAGCCTTCATTCTATGTAACATCCTTCAGGGGCCAGTGGGTAAAGTGCTCAGGTAACAAGGTCACACTGAGCTTCATACTCCGCTGTGGGGGCCCTGGTCTGCTTTCGAGGTCACGGATTGAAATTCTTCCAGACGAAGATGGAGAGAGGTAGTTAAGGCCGTGGTTGCTATGCACAGGACCATAAGCCGTCTGGGTCAACGTCACAACGGGCCGACAAAACGTCACACGTCACATGGTCCCCGGCAGCCAGGACCCAAAGGTGATAAATAACAGATGCTTCAGCTTTGCTGTTCTCACCTGTTGCTGCAAACGGTGATCGCCACGCCCGCATCACCCGCCGGCTCACACCTGTTACAGTCTCCAGAACATTCCGAGTGTCGTCACCATGTGTTCACCAGGCTCCCCGTCGAGACAGCGGTCCGTCTGAGGAGGAGCCGACATGGCTTCTGCTCCATCACGGTGATATTCACCCGGAGAGTGGGGACCGTTTAAGTTTAAGGGGAGGATTTGAGCATTTGTGTTACTGTCTGTATATTTCTAGGTGCTAGTTTACCTCCCCCCCCCCCCCACTCACACAGACACAGACACAACCCTGAAGGCATCACGACTATGGTTTGGCCCACTGGATTTCTTGAAGCTCCCCATCAACGTAATAAATTCTGGGCCATCTGTTTCTCCTCATCTCCTCTCCATTACCCAGCACCAAGGACCCTCTCTGCCCCTTAACCCGATTAACCTCGCTCTCTCTCTCTCTCTCTCTCTCTCTCTCTCTCTCACTTGCTCTCTCTCTC